GAGAGAGATTGGCTAGGACACCTCGTTACTGGGTGTCAGGGTGAGGCCTCCCCAGGTGGTACTGGTTGTCAGTGGAGAAAGCTCCACACACTTGCGATCAAGCTGGGTTGGACTGGGCTTGTAGGAGACAATGACCCTCCACCTCAGCCACAGGCTGGAAACAGGTCACGCAGTGCTGTGGTGTCAGTCACGTTCGCGCACGTCCACCTGGCCTGGGGCCGTCGATCACTGGAAGAAGTAAAGGTGGCATGGAAAGGCTGTTGAAGGACCTCTAACTAGCTAAATTTAAGGGTCTTCTATAGCATCTAGTAGGCAGATATTATTGAGTCTTATGGAGAAAGACCCCTACTTGTTGACATGAATTTTATTAGTCAGTAAACAGTTTCCTAATGTGCTTATGGTCTCAAGTCTTCTTTTCATACAGCAATTATGTTTCATTGAGTAATGATGGTCCCATTTAGAGTGAAATAGACGATAATGCAGGGTATGCTTTAGGCGTGAGCTACTTTGTTTGATTGACAATTCATTCTCAGTGAAGTCCGTTTAGCTCAAAGCACCTAACTCTAGATCAATTGTCAAACTAGGCCAGTGCTAATAATATGAATCAAGATTCTGTTTACTGCATTGACTATTTTCTCCTGCTTCATGTTTCTAGTCTCACACCCTTTATAGTTTCCCAGCCCAGTCCTCTTATTTTAGTAGTATCAAGATGACCATCAAAACTAGCTCAATATAGCTTAGTTTTGAAGAAGGTTTATGCTTAATAACACAGTCCATAACAGACACAGCAGTTCACTTTAGAGGATTGACATAGAAAAAGTGGGAAATAATCTTGTAAGAATAATCGTACGTGGCCGACAAGGCATTACGCGCCACAAATGGCAAAACGCTGCAAAACACAGGAATGATGCAAAACAAACACCAAACACATAAAAACAAATCACAGAAAATGCTGCAATCACAGAAAACGAAGCAGAAGCAAAAACTTATAAACCCCACAAAACAAAATGCCAAAGAAATAATGCAAATACCAAAACACACAAAACCAAAACAACTGCAAGAGAGAAATGCTGCAAAATGATGCGGTTTGCCCCTTGTAGCAACCATATATCTGCAAGTGAGGACGAAAAAGATTCAGTCGGGTGCATGCCTGCGGTCACCTCAAGGAATAGTTTTGGGACATTTTGGGAAATATTCCTATTTTGCTTTTCTTGCTGAGAGTTTGGCAAAAATCAATTGCCTCCTTATATGTGTTGTTTAATGAAGCTGGAGCAGGAGATGATTAGATTAGTTTACGACAAAAGAAGGGAGAATCCCAGCAGCAACCTCCGTGCCTGGCAAAGAACCCAACACGCACAGATTTGAGGCTGCTCCATAAGTGCATCAAATCTCATCCTAAGACCACTATGTTAAAATCTCTAATTCCCTGTTCTGACAACTGCACAGGGGTGAATCTTTTTGTTTTTTGTTTGTTTAAATTATATTAAGGCTTAAAGTTATGCATAATTAAGAGCAGCAGTCGGCTTCGAGTGACAGGCGGGTGCTGTGGTTTCAACAACGCAGACTACGACAGCTTGGTCTCCTGATTTAAGCTGTGTAATGTCTGGAAGTTGGCAAGTGTGCTGATTAACCATACTTATTTATCTTTGACTATCTATTATAACTTGATATGATAATTATAATTATGTATGTGAAATTTGTGTGTGTTTTACAAAACTAGTATGAACCAAACAGTTATGTGCAATTGAATACTACACCGATCAAAGCCATAACTTCTGATCTCTTGGTGCTTGCATATGGTGTCACAGCAGTAAGCACAATTTCTTATCTTGCATTAATGGACAAAACATCTCCCCATTATGATTTCTGGAAGCTTCTTGTTTGGCAGCACAGAGCCTTATACAGTTGAAATCTTTATTATATTTTATGGAACATACACCGATCTGCCATAACATTATGACACTGACAGGTGAAGTGAAATAACACTGGCGGCCTGTCAGTAGGTTGGATAAATAGGCAGCAGTGAACATTTTGTCCTCAAAGTTGATGTTGTTTAGAAGCAGAGGAAAAAAAGGCAGCGTGAGGATTTGAGTGACTTTGACAAGGGCCAAATTGTGATGGCTAGATGACTGGGTCAGAGTAACTCCAAAACTGCAGCTCTTGTGGGGTGTTCCTGGTCTACAGTGGTCAGTAGCTATCAAAAGTGGTCCAAGGAAGGAAAAGCAGTGAACGGGAGACAGGGTCATGGCTCACTGACGCACGTGGGGAGCGAAGGCTGCCCTGTGTGGTCCGATCCAACAGACAAGCTACTATAGCTCAAACGTTAAAAAGTTAATGCTGGTTCTGATAGAAAGGTGTCAGAACACCCAGCGCATTGCAGTTTGTTGACCCACCAGGGTGCCCAGGTGGTCAGAATGTTATGGCCGATACTAAAAATCCATACTAAAATCCAGGTCCTGGTTCAAATGTGAATGGTACCCAAACCCTAGGCTATACAGTTTGTGATAACGTGAAAAGGATTTTTCTTAACACAAGAACACTTTTTTTTATCATAGTGGCAGCAATATGCTGGTGTACATTTGGAAAGTCCTTCAAAGTCATCTTCCAGGTTATTAAATTCATATGGAGTGGATTTAGAGTGTCGGTGTGCAATTTCCCTTAGAATACAGATCAGTGTGTGCCAATGATATAACATCAAAATATGATAAAACTACAAAGCAAGCATTATCACTGCACTTCCATTTCTGTAGTTTATTTATAGATGACTGCAGAAATTGAACAAAAACTAACTTTATGTGCTCAACACTTTAGTTGTTACTGCTTTACCAGCCCTGCTCTCACTGCTCGGTATACAAGAAAATGATGGTAGGCCTCTAATGGCTTTCCCTTGCATACTTATGTTTATCCTGGCAAGTGCAGACTATTTTCACACCATAAATAAGCATAGTCCTGACCCACTGTTAGATGGAGCTGCCATTTATTAAACCTAGTGCTGAATGTGTTGCGCCTGTTGAATCTGCTTTGCCTAAACAGAGGTCTCCAAGAGGTAACAGCCAGCCCAGTTTGAGTCCAGGTTTAAGTGTCAGCCTGGGAAGCCAGCCACTGAGGCTTACCTTTAAAGAAAATACACATTGAACAACTTCAACAAAAGTGTTCCAAGGTACCCCCAGTCAACAAGGCGGTTGGTCTGGCAGATTAAGTCACAATGTAGGGGATCAATATAAAGAATATATAGAGAGAAAACAGGGTTGTTTTCTATTTTTATATTGATCCCCAGCGCTGAGCTCGTCAGGGTGCTACAAGCCATTGGGCTTTATGGCCTGATGGAGCTATGGAGATATCTCATAACTTTCTAGTAGGGTTGGAAATCGATATCTTGCTTTACTACCACTGCTAAATCACAACAAAGCAATGAAATCTAATGAGCTAATCACTCAGGCTGACATGACATGTCGGGTTGTTTTCAATACTCTGTTGGGGGCTGCATGATAGATAACCCCCGATATAGAAACCAATGAACCTATGCAAGGTTTGAAGGTGACAACCTGTTTTTGCATTAATGCTGACAGCTCTAAGTGGCATTTTATTCCACAATAACATCTATTTCTGGGCTGAGAATTTCCTCATTAAAATGCATACAAAATGCCAAAAGAACTGGGGTTAGGCTTATGTTGTGTTTAAGGTTAGGTATCTACTGACTTATGGTAGTGGCACCTTTTTTGTCCAATTCAGGCACTGCACAAATGTGTTTTGAGTACAATGAATAGGATTAATACCAAGAGGTTGAGATAACAATTATTTGATCTAAGTACGATGAATTTTTACTATTGGTATTCAATTTTTACCTGCTAATCTAGAATCAATTAATTAGGGGTAATTGTATGAATACATAATAATAATAATAATA